GAAGACGGAGGTGAGAGGGGCATGACGGGACCACAATCCTGGGACACCTGGGGCCCAGGTACTGTGAGAGGCAGAACAGACCCTCCCCCCAGAGGACCCCGGAGCAGGGGCCTTGGCCATGGAAGTGAACCAGGGGCTTCCCATGGGAAGCAACTCTGTGCTGGCAGCCAGTACCAGGAGCTCTGGGAACTGCTGGCTGGGTAGGCGGGGCCTCCAACTGTGGGAGATACACCCGCAACGCAGATGCTGATGCTCCTCCCCACAACCCGCGTAGGATGCTGCCGAGAGTTTGCGAAGCTGTGACCTCATCCTGTTTCCCAGAAGCCCAGCTGGCGAACGGACAGCGCCCTAATCCAGGCCCACCTGGGATGCCTGGAGGGACCCTCAGGGCACATGCTCACCTTCACGACAGAGAGAGAAGGGTTCAGTGCACTGCAGAGTCCCCCTCCCCAGGGCCTAGCAGAGATGCAAGGATCCAGGGAAGCTTGTGAGGAAGGGACAGGGTAGCACCTGCTCCCGGGGGGCTGCAGGGGGCTGGGCACTGAGGGGCAGCAGAGGAGGGCGGGGTGGTTACCCCTGCAGCCAGGATTCCAAAAAAACCAGAGTGGGGAGGATCAGAGGAGGGCCTGTAGGGGTAGGGGCAGGGACAGCTGGAGGCACAAAGCCTGAAGAGGTGTGTCTGGAAGGCTGAGCACTCCCCCCGAGCCCTGACCCTAACAAGGCCCCAAACATCCCCCTGAAGAGATTCAGTCACATCTGGAACACATGTTTACAGCAAAGTCTGTACATGCATGTTCTCACCAGCACGATTCACAGTAGCTGAAAAGCAGAAATGACCCACAAGTTCATCCACAGGATGGATAAACACAATGTGGTCCCTCTACACAGTGGAATATGATTCAGCTAGGAAAAAGGCTAAAGCCCTGACCCTAGCTGCCACATGGAGGGAACCTGAGAACACAATGCTCAGTGATAGAAGCAGACACAGGAGGATACACAGGTTGTGATTCCAATGATGGGAAATGTCCGAAACAGGCCAGTCCACAGACAGAGATTGGGTTCCTGGTTGTCAGCGGCTGGAAAGGGGGTGGGGCTTCTTTGGGGGGATGGAATGTTCTGGATCTAGACGTGATGGTTGCACAACTGTGAATGTACTAAAACTGAATTATAAGAAATGCAAATAATATTTCAATTTAAAAATGAAGAATAAAGAAAAGCCATCTCCCCCAAACACATAGTACACCCCAGGCCTGGAGACCCCACATGGTGCCCCTTGAGCTGTCAGGGGTGTTGAGGTCTGAGCGGCTTAGTGCCAACTGCAGTGCACAGTGGAGTGACTCAGTGGACGCTGCCCCAGCAGGGGTCTATGTCAACCCATCAGCAACGAGACACACTGATACAGGGCCTTGGAGTTGATGTGTTATGTTTGTGGGCCTACCGCCAGGGACTCCGACCCCTCCCAGCGTGGAGCACCCTATAGACACCTGGTTGGTTCTCCTCGAAGCCTCAGCACACATATGGGGGCACACAAGTGTAGTCATGTGGGTTGCACCTGTGATGTCGGCCTTGGCCGTGTAAGCTGGTACACGTAACATGCAGGGAAACGGTGAGGCAGTGAGAAAAGTGAAAGTGTTAGTCACTCAGTCCTGTCCAATTCTTTGCGACCCTAAAGACTATAGGCCATCAAACTCCTCTGTCCATGGGATATTCCAGGCAAGAATACTGGAGTGGGTTGTCATTTCCTCCTCTTGCACTGCTGGCACATTCTTTGCCATCTTAGCCACAAGGTGAGGCAGGGCGCTCAGGGATTTTCTGTATCATTTTGGCTACGTTGCTGTGAATCTAAGTTTTTTTTTTCTTCTATTTTTTGGCCACACCATATGGCATACAGGACCTTATCTCCTCAACCAAGGATGGAACCCACATCCCCCTGCATTGGAAGCAAGGAGTTCTAATCTGGTGGACTGCCAGGAAAGTCCCTGTAAGGCTAAGGCATTTTATTTTATTTTTTTAAGGCTAAGACATTTTAAAGCTCATTGTGTTTCATGAAAACCTTCAAACATACAGAAAAGAGCGTCAGGGATGAAATTTTCAGTGGACCCTTCCCTGGCTGGAACTAGGGCTGTGGCAGTTCAGCGGGCGCCTGGTCTGACGGCCAGGACTGTCCAGACAAGCAGTTACCCCCAAGTGGGAGCCAGACTGACCTCTTGTCCTAGACCCCCAGAGCAAATTCCCTTGCCTGTAGATCCCTCCCAGATAACTGATGGATGGGGACCCCACACAGAGGCAGGCTTGACCTCACCAGGTTCTGGGCTCAAGCTGGCTGTGTGGAGCCTCCAGGGAACTGCTCCAGGCCCCAGGGGAAGGCAGGGGGAAGCTTTCTGCTTGTGGGCTATGAGGGTCACACATCCCCCCGATAGTCTTTCCCTTTTCACTTTGGCCAGCAGGAAACTCGGGGCTCAGGTTTAGTTACCAGGGGGATGTGTTAAGGCCTGCAGGTGTACACCCACTGCCTGCCCCCAGCCCAGGTCTGCACTCCCCATTCCAAAACTCCTTCTGATGTACTAACAGGAGCAACAGCTTCTGGTATGTGTCATGGGCCTCGTGAGGGCTTCACGTGATGGAGCGGCTGTAATAAGACTACGCTGAACTCCACGGCTTCCAACAGCACATTTATTACTTTATGGTTCTAGAGGTCGGAAGTACGAGATGGGTTCATGGGACTGGTAACCTCTGGAGGCTCCCCGCTTTTCCAGCATCTAGAAGTACCGCATCCCTGGCTCACAGCCCCTCCCTCCATCCTCACAGAGAGCAGGGCAGCATCTCCCGTCTCTATGCCTCTGACCCTCTATATCCCTCTTATAAGGACCTTGTGATGACACTGGGACCCCAGGGGTCATTCCCATTTCAGGGGCCTTAGCTTAATCCCACCTGCAAAGTCCCCTCTGCCCCATGAGGTGACACATCCACAGGTCCCAAGATGAGGATGTCTTTGGAGCTGTCCCTGTGCCAGCCACCATGCGATGTCACTCAGTCTGAACCAGGAGCAGAGTGGACCCACCAGGCGGGAGCTGGGCTGGGAAGAACCTTGAACGCCAGGCCCACTCTGGACTCTGTTCTGCTTTTGGCTACAGGCACAGGGGTCCCAGGGGAGATGGAGGATGCTGACAACAGAGTCAGATCCTGGCTGCACTACAGTCTCACATCTGTGTGACCCCATGGTCGGCAATGGGGTGAGAGCTCGTTTGAAGACATTTCACAGCTTTAAAGGGATACCTGGTCCAAGTCGTCCCCTGCATGGGAGACTGGAGAGTGAGTGGGCTGCGGCCACACTCTGTGAGCTTCTGTGGGGTGGAGGTGTGACCTCCAATGAGGGGCCATGCAAGTGCTCTTCCCCACCTGCAGCAAGAAGCGGATGCAGTGCCCCAGGGGATTCTTGGCTTGGAAGCCATGTGAATTCTTGACAGAGCCCAGGAGGCGATGGAAGCGGTGAGTGGGACGGGGAGTGAGGCCCATGGGTAGCCGCAGGAGCTGGGTCAGCCCACAAAGGCTTCTGCTGGCCCTGGACTCGGCATGGCCCAGGCCTCATCCATCCAGGACGGGATTTCCCAGCAAGGGAACAAGTCTGGACACAGAGTCAGGCCCTGGACCCAGTGGACAAGAGGCCCATCAGCTGCCAGCCCATGGCGAGCCAATGCCCAGAGACGAGGGGCCACGGCAGATGCCCTGGGAGTGTGAACCCACCAACCTTCCTCTCCTGGTGGTCAATGGTGTCCTCATGGACCAGAGGCCAGCAGTAGAAACCGCAAAGCCTTCTATAGATTCTGGGAGGCTAGATCCATGGGCCTCCTGTCCTCACTCCAATATCCTTGCCCTGGGGGGGTCTCAGGGGTCCCCAGGGGCAGGCTCTGCTCCCCGGGCCACAAGACCAGCATGTCACCTCCTGGGCAGCCATAAAGATCACTGATGGGGCAGCTCAAATGACAGACATATCTCGTGTTTAGGGCAGGCGTCCAGGGCATGGCATGGGGGCAATGCCTCCAGGCTCTGGGATCTCCCTGCCTCCCCAGTGCCAGCTTTTGCCTCCCTCATCACATGCCTCCTCACACTGTGTCTCCACATGGACTTCTGGAAAGGTTAGGGCCACTCTAACCAGGATGACCTCAGCTCTGTCTTTACTAATTGACCCACAAAGTCCCGACAGCCAAGTAGGTTCTCATCCTGAGGTCCCAGGAGGATGCAGATTTGGGGGGATGCAGTCACCGCAGCACACACCCCCACTGCCCCGTCTAGCTCTCTTGCCAGTCCTGCTGCCTCCGGTGGGTGAAGACCAATCAAAAGGGCCTTGGCCTGGGTCCATGCGAGTCCAGTGGGCCTGCACTGGCCTGTGTGTGTCGTGGCCTTCCTCAGTCTGTCATCTAGTGGGGCCCACAAGCTCCCACTTTACGGAAGGAAACCTAAGCACCTGACACCCCCACTCCAGCTGGTCCACTGGATGGTCCCCAGACAGTGTGCCGAGTCTGCCCAGACACAGGAAGCTCTTGGGGCCGAGGATTCCAAACTTCCAAGGGAGACTCAGCACCACAAAGCCCCTGTTGCCCCTACTTCCTGCCCCCAGGTGGGGGTCACCCTGGCACTAAGGCCCCCTCCAGGATGGCACTGGGCTTCTTCCCACAGACCTCTCTGCAACTCTCGATCAAGGGCTGCTGAGTGGAGGGAAGCGTGGCACCACCTGTGAACCCCCTGGACAAGGCATGGGGATTGTGGACCCACGAAGGCGCCCGAATGGAGAAAGCTCAGGTATGGGCAAACCACTTGTGATGTGGCCTGTGACCCACACGCAGGTGGGAGTGACAGTGGATGGGACCCTAGCCTCAGTGACATGACCTCTGACCCAGCGCCCCTGCTATGAAAAGTCACACCGGCTATCCCCCAACATAAGCCCCGTCCGCAGGTACTAACACCTCCAAGAGGCATGCAGCCCAGCCAAGGTCTCCTACCTGAGGAAAATCACTGCTCTTTGGTGGGAAGCTGGGGGCGGTGGCCGCAGGGCCATAGCTGGTGTCCATGCAGGGCTGGCCCATGATGAAGGAGGAATTCATGAACTGGCTGCAGGAGGAAAAGGAAGCTGAGCCGGTAGGTGTGGTGGGACTCTGCCCACCCACCCCGCATGCAGGACAGAGGTGGGGGTCACCAGCCTGCAGGAACAATTCTGTCACCTCAGAAATTCTGCTTAGGAAGGGCCCACATGCCCACAACCCCAGACATGGAACCCCAGAAAAACCTTGAGGCTCTGGCTGCATGTTCTTTTAATGCCCTTTGCATGGGCCATTCCTTGGCCGGATTCCAGGCCTGCTCCCCACCCAGCAAACTTATTTATCCTTCAAATCCCAGCTTGCCAATGCCCTTCACAAAGTTGCCCTCCAGGTTCCTTTCAGCCCCACAGTTTCTCACTGCCCACGTGATGTCCCCACAGTGGGGCCCTCCCTGGCCCCCTTGTCCCACTGCTTGTCTCCCTGAAGGGTTCTCGTTAAGGCAGATCACAGCAGGTCAGTTTAGGGTTGGGTCTCAACTCTCCTGATTGGACACGGAAGCCCCACTCCCCGACTGAGAGCTCTGGTTCCATTTAGCCCCAACTGTGGGATGGAGAGGCAAAGTAAAGCCCCTGTGGGTGAGGGCCCCCCAGCAGAGCCCTGGGAGCTGGACACTTACTGGCTTTCACTGGAGAAGGCTGGGTATGTCGTGGGCGAGAAGCTGTTCCACCAGGGGTAGTGCAGCATGGTGTCCTATGACAAAGCAGTGGGCATCAGGGCAGGGGGTGGTGGGGCAGGGTCCCTGGTCCCCTCCACTGCCCTGGGGCAGGGTCCAGAGGGCACTGAGCCCCGCCCCCACCAGAGGCCTCCCAGCAGGTTCACTGTGCCTCCGTTTCCCCAGAGAGCCAGTGTGAACAGGAAGGTCCATAGAATGTGACTGGCTCAGAGAAGGGGCACATGACCCCAACCAACCAGTTAGAGCCTTCCCTGGGATTTTATACCTGTAGCGAGTGGGAGTGACACCACCTTCAGAAGGCAGGCCCTGGGGGACCTGACTGGTCCCAAGATGGGTCCCTATGCAGGCTAGCCAATCAGAGCCTGCCTGAAGACAAAGAGGTTGGCCCTCCCCTGGGGAGGAGAAGGTCCTGGGAGATTAGCCAGGAGCTTCCCAGGCCTCATGTAAACTGATGAAGGAGATGACACTCCTGCTCAGGCGTGCAGCAGATAACAGAGAACTGCCAGATAAGATACAGAATGGCCAGTGAAACCTGGCCAGTGAAATTGGAATTTCAGATAAAGAAAAGATAGCTTTTAGTGTCAATACTGTGGGCCAGTCCCAGTGTGGCCTGAGGGACCACCTCCATGTTCAGTGGCCCGAGAGGGACAGGTTCTGTGCACAGCCCAAGAGCCTGCTTTGTGGGCTCTGACCACTCAGAGCGAAGCTCAGCCCCCATGCCGCACCTCCCTGTACTCAGGTCCCCATCTTGGCCCAAACATCCTCCCCCAGATTCCAGTATCTCAGCCCCTGCGGTCCCCATGTGCTGTCCCTGCAGAGCTCACCTCCTGGCCCATGGCCAGCTTCCTAGGTCACCACCACGGGACATGGCAGGAGCCTACTCCCTGCAGAAGAGCTCCATCATCTGCAAACCTGCCTGAGCTGGGGCTCGCTCTGACCCAGGAATTCTATTCCAGAAGCACACCCCTAGGGACTCATCCAGGAGCAGGGGGAAAACACAGTGGCACTATTTATAGTGGCAGAAAACTAGAGTCGCTCCAAAGGCCCAACAACGGGGAAATAATTAAGCAGATGACGGGATGCTGAGGAGGAGGAATCCTGAAGGGTTATTAAGAATGACAGGCGCAGGCTCCAAGCCCATGAAACGGAGAGACATGGCATGTGAGGAAGGAACACACCTCATGCCACAAATCAGAGAGGGCTTGGGAGGAGGCTTGGAGAGAGGCGGGGCCGAGGAGGGCAGAGCCCCTGTGGGCATAGCTGGATGGGCACAGGTGTGCCTGGGGGGAAGCCTAGCCTGAGGCTGTGGGGGGTCTTCAGCTGGATCTGCTTTCACTCTCTCCCCACCAAATAGCAAGGTCTGCTCGACGTGACCTGGTGCTGTGCTCTGCCGTGTCAGGGTGCCTCATGGGCACAGCCGGGCAAGGGGTTGGTCCTGGGTTTGTGCACGACCTACAGCCCCGTCTGATGCTACACTTGGAAGTCTGGGGTGCCTCCTCACAGCTCTGGGCCCTTGACCTGGAACTCTGCCTTGCTCCAGAGGCCTAGTGCCCGGCCTCTCTGAACCCCAAGCTGGATCCTCGCTCTCTTCCCCCACCGGCCTTTCCCTCCCATCCCAGCAGGTATCGGGGGAGGACATGCCCGAGTGTACCTGCTGCTGCTGCTGCGCCCATGCAGCCCACATCCCACTTGTTCCCCCTGTCAAGCAGCTCAAGTCTCCCCACCAAGACATTCAGGTTCTTTTCTTTTCTTCAGGGAAGGAGCCCTGTTCTGCTCCAGGCAGGCCTGACTCGCTGGAGTATGCTGGACCCTTCTCAGTACAAGACCTCCATACCCTCTGTGATATGAGGAGGCCCGACACCCGCAGTCGTCCCATCACTTGCGGTTCTTTACTGCAGCCATCATAGCTCAGATGCGAGTGAGCTGTCTCTCGGCAGGTGGAAGCATAAACCAACCGTGGGACATGCAGGTGATGGAAAGAAATGGGCTGTGAAGCCATGGAAAGACTCAGAAGAGCCTTGCACACACATCATTAAAGGGAAGATGCTGGTCTGAACAGTATACACAGTGTCCTAATGTCCACCCTAGAACATTCTAAAAAAGGTGAGACTCTGGAGAGAGAAGGATGGATGGGGGCAGGGGGGTTTAGGATGGTGACACTGTTCTGTAATGCTGACCAGTGGATACGGGTCACCTGACATCAGTCAAAACCCACAGAACACCTAGCAATAAAAGTGAACCAAATGTCACTACGGCCCTCAGATAGTGATGCTGATGGGCACCGGCTCCTGGGCTCAGCACCCTGAGGATCCTGAGACACTAATGGAGCGGAGGGGAGCAGGGAGGGTTGTACGGGAACTTTCTGTGCAGTTTTCCCATAAACCTAAAAATGCTTCAGAAATAAAGTCTTGAAAAATAAGGAGAAAAAAGTGCTGCAGCAGAGTGGATGAGTGTAACTGGCCAGCAGTCCCAGCTATTGACGTCTCATGGGTGGGGGCAGTCACCCAGGCCGAATGTTCCCAAGGGCCAGCCGAGGTCCTGGCGTCAGAAACCTTACAGCAAACGTGTAAGGGACTCGGGGGTGGCGCATGACCCCCAAAGGGTCCTCCCCACACACCCGGGGCAGGGGCTCACCTGGACGCTGGGCCCACACAGCGGGGTCTGCAGGGGCGGCGGACTGTACAGGACGCTGCCAGCTGGCGGGGGCTCGTGCGAAGGGAGCTCCCCGTCCATGGCGGGCCCCACTGCCAGCATCAGGGGGCTCCAGGAGCCAGGCTGCAGGGGCAGCTATCTGGGCTTCTTGCTCCGCGGTGGCGGCATCATGACCTGGGGAAAGACAGGCACGTCCCAAGGTTGCCTTCCAACCCCAAAGGGTGGGGAAGGGTGCCTCTGGTGACAGTGGGCTGGGGGCGACAGGATCCCTAGGGGAACCTTCAGATGACCCCAGCTCACCTGACTACCCAACCCATGCAGGGGCTGTGCTGAGGGATCCATCAGCTGCCCCGTCACTCCCTCCTAGGCAAATGGCCGAGACCTCCAGGAAGATGGCAGCCCCTTGGGGGTGGGGGTCCCGCTGCACTCCCACCCTTGTTCTCAGGCCCCTGAATCCTGTGGGCTCCAGAGCCACTCCAGCCACCCATAAAGGGAACCTTGAGCCCTGGGAGCCTAGCGTGAGCCACAGGGACACACCCCCAGATCTGTGACTAGCGTCTGGAAGAGAAGAAGTTTAGCCAACTGGCAGCTCTGAGCTGGAGGGGCCGCAGGGCCATGGGAGCCCCATCCTACTGCAGCCAGGTCAAGTGTGCCGAGGCTCTCTGGGCAGCTGGGCTGAGCCGGGAGGAGCCCCCAGACCTGGGTGGGGCTAGGTAGGATCGCATAGGGTGCCACTGACAAGGGGGGCAGACACCCAGCTGGGGAAAGCACAGGGGACAACCCAGTCCCAAGTGATCTCCCCACCCCGCCATGCCCACCCGCCCATGGCCTGGGTAGGACCAACATACTGCAGGCCACATCACCAATGGAGGGTGGGGACCCCAGGCTGACTGAACGCCCCTCAGGACAAGGCCTCGGGACGTTAATCACCCAGAGAGGCAGGAAGGGGAGGCAGCTGCCACTCCCAGCCAAGCCCTGAGTGAAGAAATCCTCAGGACTTCCAGTAATCTCTGCCACACAGAGTCTTGTGCAATCCCGCGGGGGGCGGGGAGAGCCGCCTGCACCCACTCGCTGCCCGTGAGTGCCTCACCCGAGGTCCAGAGGGACAGGGGTCGCGTCCAGCTCTTCAGGAAGCCTGTGGGGGCTGGGCCGCCCTGCTTCGGCTAGAGAGGCTGGCAGGACGCCAGTCCCCCGGCTCCCAGCAGGACCTGGCGGCACCAGGAGGAACACATGGCTGCTCTGGGACCCGTGGCCTTGGTCAAGCGGATGGTCAAACCCAGCTCCATGTCTAAGGGTTGGATAATCTCCAAAGATTCGGGACCCAGAGCTCTGTAAGCCTCAGTCTGATCATCAGGAGAATGGGCTGTCTGGGCATAAGGCTCGTCAGGAGCTCCACAGAGCCTGGAGCCTCCAAGACCCCAAGCCACTCAAGTGACCGCAGCCATCACAGAAACCGTCAATTCAAGCTCCTTGATTCAAGAGACTCCTCAACAGGTCTATGTGGGGCTGATCCTATACTCACTCCCAGGCTCTTCTCAGCTCCACACCTACAGAGGCTGGGGCTGCTCCCTTGGGAAGCACCATCCAGAGACCATTGCCAAACGGCACAGGAGGGGGACCCCTGGGCTGTCCTTGGGGTGCATGGAGCCCCAGGGACCCCCACTGGCAGCAGGCCAGGCCTGTATAGCACCCGTTCTGAGTGTCTGGCCCCGCAGGCTCAGGCCCCACACCGCAACCCAGGGTATCACATCCTTCCAGAGGAAGAAGCTGTCCCCGTGGGGAAGGCTCTCTATGCTCCATGGGGGAGTCATGACTGGAGGGGGGGGTTCCTGTGACGGGACCTGTCTGTCCTGTCCTACCAAGACATGAGGGGGGCATGCCCTGGGGACCCCAGAAGTCTTCTCTGACCAAGCAGAGCATTCAGACCTAGACCTGGGGGGGTTGTGGGGAGGGGAGCAACGGGGCTACGAGTCAACAGGGCCACTGGGGATCGTGAACCCAAATGGGGGGAGGGGACATGGTGCCACCTGGGGGCTGGCAGAACCTCACCCGGCTACACAGTAACCTTGGAGCCAGCAGTCCTGCTCCCACGTGTCCACCCAGGAGAATGGAGACACGCCCACACAGCAACCTGAACACTCACATCCACAACACCCAAAGGGTGCAAACAGCCCGAGTGTCCCCAAGTGGATGATGGATCAACATACGTGTCCCTCCACACCTGGGAGCATCCCTCAACCACAAAAAAGAGTGAAGCCCTGACATTCACTACCACGCGGATGGACCCTGAGAACACGATGCTCAGTGAGAGGAGCAGACACAGAAGGACACAAAGGGTGTGATTTTACTAACGAGAAACATCCAGAACAGGATGATCCACAGACACAGGGAGTGGGTTCCTGGTTGTCAGAGGCTGGGGTGGGGCTGACACTGTGCCCACCACCATCCCCACACTCCCAGAGGCCACCCCTACAACGTCGCCATCCTTGGATGCCCAGACCCAAGGTCATCTCCAGGCCCCACCACCAACTTCAGCCCACTTCACCTCGTTGCACCCTCAAACACAGTCCTCCTATCCCCTCACTTTCTGACCTCTGCTGAGCAACCCCAATCTGCCCACCCCCCTGGGGTCAGGACAGCGTCACCAGCTCCCAAGCTTCAGAGGCTGCACTCCCCGGGTATGAAGGAAGCCAGGCCACAGCATGTTTGTTGAGACATGAGCCCCATGGCACGTGCGGCAGGGGTGCTCGCAAGGTGCACTTGGGGAGGGGCCCGCACTTCACCCAGCTTTGAGCTGCAGGATTTCCTTTTGAGATCACATTTCAAATGAGTCATTGTATAACAGAAAGATCAAGGAATTGGTGGCCTGGACAGGATGATGGTGGGGCAGGAGGAGGAATGTAGGAAGAGGGCAGATCTGGGGCAGCCTGATCCCTGGGATGCACCCAGCTGGTGGGTGACCATGGCCACCCCTGCTTCTCGGCTGAGCCCACTACACCTCAGTGCCCTGGCCAGACCTCAGTGCAGGGCCAGTGCCCCCAGAGTGGGCCATTTGATGCACACTAAGGGCTCAGCCCCCCAGGCATCCTTGGAACCAGCCACCTGGATCCCTGCCTGGTGGTGCCTGGGCTCTAGTGGTCACATGTCACCAGGTCCCCCAGGAACCCCCTCTCCAGGCATCAGTGACCTGCCAGTCTCCCCCAGGCCGTAGGCCAGCAGTCCCTCTGGCCACCCCTTGGCTAGACTCTGAGCATTGGCCCTGGGATCTGGGATGGGGGAATGAGTAGGGGGCTGGTGGGGGCAGTGGCCTAGGTGGGATCAGGGGGCCAGGTCTGGGATGTCTGGGGGAGGGCTGGGGTGGGGAGGCCCCTTCTTGCCCTACTGGTCAGAGATAGCCTAGGTCTGTCCTCAGCAGGGGTACCCGGAGAATCTCCTCTACTCCTGATAGAGGGGTCCAGCCGGGTCAGGATGTGCTGCAGTCAAAGGGGCAGAGGGGCAGGGAAGGTCAGGCAAGGGGAAGGAGCTCTGTCCTGGGGGCACTGACCAGGCCTTGAGGTCCCATCTGGGCTGGCTGGCACAGCTTACTCTGTCAGGACTCCCAGAAGGGCACAGCCACCTCCATGGGTGGGCCAAAAAGGGAGGGGGTGGGTCCCAAGGGAAGCCTCAGGGCCCCCTCCTCACTGACTGACCAGGCCATGTACTCAGGTGGGACACATGGGGACACAGGGCCAGCTGGTGAGTGACGGGGGTCCAGGGCTATGGAGGAGGGCCCAGGGTGTGTGTGGACGGAAGTGATGGAACAGGTGAGGCATGCTGGAGAGAGGGGTGACCCCCAAGCTCAGGTCCACCAGGAACAGGCCCTCACTTAGAAGCAGGCTCTTCACAGGCAAAAGGAGTTAAGATGGGGTGGTGGGGCCTGTGTCCTTACAAGAGGGAAATCTGGAAACAGAGACCCTGGGAGTGGCCGTGTGGCAATGGAGGCAGAGACAGGGGTGCTGTGCCCACAAGGCCAGGACACCAAGGACGGTGGGCCACACCAGGAACTGGGAGAGGAAAGAAGGACCCTCTCCTGGAGTGGGTGGAGGAAGCACCACCCCGCTGCACCTGGATCTCAGACAGCTAGTCTCCAGAACAGGGAGAGTAAATCCCTGTGGTTTAAGCTGAGCCTGTGGTCAGCTGTTACAGCCGCCCAGGGACGTTCAGATGGAAGGCAAAAACAAACCCTAGCTGGAGGAGAACTAACCCCAGACCCAGGTGACGGAGTGATGTTTGCGGAGATGAATGTTTATGCAGAAGAGGAGACCCCAAGGCTGAGTCCTGTGGGCACCAATTCAGGGTAACCTGCACTAGCTGTGTCTGCGCCTGCAAACCTGTCCGCTAGCGGGCACAGAACCACTGGCCCAGGGTACTCTGAGGGCCGACTGCAGGCCAGGTGCTTCTCAAAGCAGCTCCCACACCTAGAGGGCCACCTTGAATCTGTAAGGACCTGCCAGAGTCTCACAGCCCTTGGGAGGCCAGTCAGCACCCCCGCCAGCTCCAAGGACACAGCTTAGGGGCATGGAGCCCTTCATACCCAGTCAATGGCCCAGAAGGGAAGGGAAATGAGGACAAGGAACTTCTTTAGTCACAGCTGGAAACGCTGAGCCTAGGTCTCGGGGCCCTGATCCCTGGTCCCCCCTCTCAGGTGCAGTCCAGCCTTATCAGGAGAGACCCCGAAGGATGGCACTTCAGCTGGCCTCCCCTTGCAGCTGATGGACCTTCCAACCTGCATCCATGTGGACAGGTATGGAGTGGTGCCCATGATGACAGGGCACATGCATGCAGGGTTCCTCTTCTGGGAAGTGCCTGCTCAGGGCTCGTGTTTATTCGTGGTCTTGAAAAGGCTTCAGATACACTGAGCTTGTGGTCTCCTCTGACCCCCAGACCTTCCTCCCCTGAGTGGACATTAAGCTGAATCCTGCAGGCCTGACATCCCAGTCTTTGGACATTGATGTCCAGGGTGGGCAGGGAGAAGCGTCTGTTCCTCCTGACGCTTGCTGCTTGATGACAAGAGTCTCAAGCCAGCTGGCACACCAGGTCCCTCTGCCCAGCTCCTTGGAAAGCCCAGAGGCGGACAGTGGAGGGTGCCCCCTATGGCTAGATCACACCAGGCCTGGGCGAGTGATCAGACTGGC